GTATGACTTTAATGTAGTAAATAATTAAAAATCATTGAGATCTATTTCTTATTTGACTTGATAACAGCTTTAGATACAGTTTGATATTGTTTTTGCATAAATTAAAAAAGGAAATTAGTGTGACAAGGATATAATATGCCAAATGGTTGCTGCATCTAAGAGTTTTGTCATTTAGCATTAGCTCTTTAGTGGCTCAAGCAATAATTAGTACATGATAGTTTTTTTTTTAAACAAGCTAGTTGAGTCTTGGGTATTTTTTAGTGTTCTATAATGGATGAGAAAATGCATTCAGTCACATGCAAATGCTCTTTTTGGATTTGAAATTATTTAAATATGTCCGCATGTGTACCACAGATACACACTACAATTCCACAATGCATTTATTCAACATCAACCTGGATGCATGTCAATTAGCTTCACCAGGTGTATTTAGACACTCAACAATGGCTCTTTATCACTTTGACTAAAAAATGAAAAACAGCTATAGCTAATCTTTGGAAAAATAGAAATGCAAACTAATGCGGGTTGGCATTTTATCCATTGACACATAGCATTGAATTTCCTAAATAAATTGACTCTAAATATAACTGAAATATGTCTTTTTTTTTATCTTTTTGAGGAAGGAAAAATGTTCTTTTTTTCCCCCCCCTCCAAATACTTGGAAGTGTATTTATTCTCTTTTCCCAAGTTTCTTTTTCCTCTTTAAAACCTTCAAAATGTATAAACCTAAAACAGGGATAGAATTCCTTTGGGAGATATTATTAAAACATAAGTAATCTTTTTCTCTTTTAAGAAAAAGGTCACATAATATTTGCAGCTGTAAACTTGTTTAATTAGCTGGACTGAATATAGATATGGCTCTTTGGATTATATAGGTTGCAGACCCCAGAGTTAGACCCTAGAATATAAAGAATATTAATTATATATACTTATAAAAGTGGCATAGTTCAAATCAAAGCTGTGAAATCACCATTTTTTATTCCTTTTAACATTTGATATGTTTTTTCAGCTCAGGCCATAGATCTTAATTGCTCTCGAATGATGTCCCAAACTTAAATTTACTGTCACTACTTTATCAGATGATTAATTTCTATAGTGATATAGGGGATGGAAAACTACACAAAAAACTGTGATTTTAACCTGCACTCTAAAATGTCATTAACCACTTCAGCTATAAGGCAAATGTTACCAATACTTCTTGATTACCTTTAAAAAAGTTCAACAACTCTAAATTTTAGGCTTAATATACTAATGACTTTGTTCTCTTTTTTAAATTATTTTTGCTAGACCTAAATATCCTATATGCTCAAACAAAAATGAAACGACTGTGTATTTAATGAAGTGTAAAACTATGGAACAAACTAAGTTAAAGCAATGTCCAAGAATAAGAATGTTTATGAACATGATTTTCTGAAAAAAGCATATATGATTGGATGGAAGAACCAACTAACTGTTAATTGCAGTTTGAGCGTTTCCTGTTTTGTGGATGAGCCACACCAAACACTGATTGAAGAACATGGTACAGACTGAATACTGAAGTATAAAAGTATACGGACGTGCACAAATCTAGGCGGTAGAGGTGGTGTAGGTCCAAGCTGACTGCATCAAACTGCACTGGGTCCAGCTGTGATGATGCTTCAGAAAGACGAAGATGATCACACAGCTGCAGAGACTTGGTGAAGATCCGAGGGAAGATGGAGGTCAAAGACTGTTGAGCATGAGGGGGAGACATTGGCAGGTCATTGTGCTTTATTGGTCTTCTGACACTAATAAGGCTTATTTAAATCTTTCTCAGGGATCAGCTCAGCTAGGTGGTCTGAGGAGATGTGGGTGGTTGGAGAATTCAAAGAGTTTGCTGGTTGTGGGGCGTCATAAAACAGGGTGGACATATTTAGATTTTAAAAACTAAATAAACATGGGATACACAATATGGACGTACATATCGGTACCCATCTGATATGTAAAACTAGACCAGTAAAAACTGGTTATTGCAACATAACAGCAGTATTAATATGAGCAATCAATACCGGCTAGCGATGTATCCCTGAAAATAATCTGTGTATCAATAATTTATTTATTATTTTATTAAAACCAACAATGAATAATACATTTTTAAATTTGTTTCATAAAATACTATAGAAAAACAGAGCTTTTTTATTTCTCCTTTCTTTTTAAAACTAAATATGGAGGAAAACAGAAAATGAGCTCATTAATTCATTTTTTTATATTTTGTTTTGGACTTTTTGAGGTAACCAGGTGGTAGTTTTATACCTTTAGGCTGAACTTGGAAGGTTTAGTTCGGTGGTTTGATATTTTTATTCGGTTTGTGGTGCTGCTGTCTGGTATGTAAGCAGACATATTAAAAATTAATTAGTTTTGAAGCCATTATCACCTTCTATATACATGATGCAATTTCCTGTTCAACATCTATGAGGTGCCTTTTATGTCCGACCCAGTGTTTAATTTTGAACCTTCTCACCGACATTTCAGAATAATTTTACACACCCTGTTGCAGCAACATAGCTGAAACTTCAGCATGTGTCTTAAATCATTCTGTGACCCAAGATTAAGTTAAAATAATAAAAATCATGCTCTCATTATCCATTTTATTCCTATTTAGTTTGCTAGAGGGTTGATAAATTAGGAAAGGCATCCATTTTTTTTTTCTTTTTTCCTTTTAAACAAAGAAAGTAACGACACAGATTAGAAACAATTGCTTAAACTGTAATATTACGATAGCTCTCCTTTTGTCATGGTTTTGGTTATGTTATGCTTTACTTTGCTCCTTGTTTTCTAGTTTTTATTGGTTTAATTCCTATTTTGTTATTTCTAGATTTGTTAGTTCTCATGTTGTCCTCTGTTGCCCTTGTGTGTGTGTGTGTGTGTTCCTTTCCCCTTGGCTCCCTCGTTGTCTCCTCTCACACCTGCTCCTTGTCAGCTCGTTAGCCCTCCCTTTGTCTCTGTCAGCTATTTATGCTCTCCCTCTGCTCTCACTCTTGGTTGGTTCCTTCTGTCAGGGTTTGGTTGAGGTTTGGAGGACCCAAATGCAGAGGCAGAGAGGCTGAGGTGAATACTTGTAGTTTAATTATGAAAATGGTTAGCAAAGGCAGTCCAAAAATCCAACTAAAAAGTAATAGACCAGAACCATGGAGACATCAAGGGAAAACACGTAGAAGGAGCCAGGGAGAGACAAGGGGAGACAATTGCAACGATGACAGGACCAGCAACAACAGAGGAACCAACAAAGAGTGAGAGCAGAGGGAGAGCATAAATAGCTGACAGAGACAAAGGGAGGGCTAACGAGCTGACAAGGAGCAGGTGTGAGGAGACAACGAGGGAGCCAAGGGGAAAGGACCACACACACACGAGGGCAACAGAGGACAACATGAGAACTAACAAATCTAGAAATAACAAAATAGGAATTAAACCAATAAAAACCAGAAAACAAGGAGCAAAGTAAAGCATAACATAACCAAAACCATGACACCTTTTGAGCAAAACTCAACAAATTTGGTTATAACAAAAAAAAAGAAAAAGAAAAAAGAAACTCAGAGTGATAGGGGTGTGGGGAAAAATCGATTTGGCGATATATCATGATTTTTGGCTGCCCAATGTAATATTGATCTTTCAGTTCCTAGTATCGATAAAAAAGAAGCATTTTCACCTAACATGAGGGGAGATGTGCTACCTCTCCACCGTCACACTATATAGCACCATGGAGCCTTTTTGTTGTGTGACGCAGCACCATAACTGTAGATTAGTCAGTCACAGTGGAAGGCGTGGACTGACTCAAACCCAACCAACACGGAAACCAAAATAGCTAAATGATCAATATCTTCTGATGAGCATAAACGTCACTTCCTTTTTTATTATAAATAAAATTTTGATAGCTAGGACAATTATTGCAATATATAGCGATATTGCAATATCGTGATAATATCGCGTTGTGGCCCAAGTATCGCGACATTTATCATATCGGAACACCTATGCCAATACTCACTCCTAATGAGTGAGAAAGTATTCGGTTCTGTTCTTTTCATTGCAGCAATGAAATTAAACATCAGCTGTCTCATAAACCAAAAAATGTTTTCTAATCTTTTTCTTCTTCCTGTTTTTGTGTCACTTCATGTTTTGCTGTAAATGTATTTCAGCAGTTCCTTGTTTCTTAGCAAATAAGCATGTCAGTTTTTGAAAGTGTCTTTAAAATGACTCTGCATGACAGAATTCGGCTTAGTGACTCAGCGGAAAGCTGATTGCTGGCTTTTAAAAATATCCACGCCTTATATCACCCTTTACCGGGTAAAAACCAACTCAGTCAACTTGATAAATGAACTTTAAAATGTTCCTTTGTCATATACCCTATAAGACTTGTGTAACTTTTATCACAGGCAGAAACTCATATGCTCATCAGCTTTGCATGCGGTGTACTCGGCCAGCCATTTGTCTCTACAGGGACGAAATGAGGGACATTTATTTTGCACTTGTCTGTAGAGCTTTACTTGCGCTTTGACGAGCTCTGCTGTCTGAGAGAAGAGCCACCCACAGAGCAGCAGATCAGGGATGACGTAATGGCAAAAAAAAACAAAAAACGCTGCTGTGTTCGATGCTTACCGTCTAATTTAAGTAAATGCCTATTTTTACATCCCTTTGAATCAAAAGTGACTGACAGTCTGAGAACAGTGTACATGTCTGGGCAAAAGATGGTTATTACGTTATAAAAGTGCTCAAACCGTGCATAACATTCAACTTTCAGTCTTATTTTGCAGCTTATTTCAATATATTTTGCTTTTATCAAACCTTTAAGGCCCTGGTAAGTTTTATGAAATTTGACTCATAATTAAATAGAAACATTGGAGACCAGATGGTGGATGTTTTTATTAAAATTATATGGGACTCTATTCTAGAATTACCTTAAATTGTTGACTGTCTAAGCAGGTACTGCATTGATGCCTCCCTCTATATTTTTTCATAAACATTTTTCATTTTGTTTCTTTCTTTAGAAATGGAAGAAAAACTGGTTTGTCCTCTACCCTGCCAGCCAAAACGGCATAGCTCGCCTCGAGTTCTTCGACTCGGGAGGAGGGAGCTCCAGCGGGGCCTCGGGAAGCGGCTCCAACGAGAAGACCAGGAAGTTGGACAAGAAGATCATCCGCCTGTCGGAGTGCATCTCTATTCTGCCCGCTCTGACCGAAAGCTGCCCTAAAGATAACATGGCCGCTTTCTGCGTGGAAACAAACGACAAGACGCATGTGTTCGCGGCAGAGAAGAACACGGCGAAGGAGTGGATGGACACCATGTGTGACATTGCGTTTCAGGTATCTTTGCCGCTCTGCTCTCCTTTTTTTGTGTTGTTGTTGAAAACAGGATGACCAGTTCACTCATCTGATTGCTTAAAGGAAATACGAGCCGTCTGCCAGTGACTAAGACGTGGGTGGAAGGATTTTTTAAGACTTCCTTTGTGTGTGTCAAATGCATTTGTCTGCTCTTTCTGTCTCTGTCTACCTAATTTCCAGGTGTCCATCCTTGGTCTTTTAAAGCAATAAACACGATAAAGCAACCTGTGCAGAAATAGCTTAACATAAATATAACGTGATGTCTCTCTCATGTTGTTGACTTTGTCTGTTTGAGCAACAGGGGGGGACTGGCATTAGCCTGACAGACTGTAATGGTGGATCCAAGGACCTGCAGATGTCTGAAAACCTCATCTATTACTCAAGGGAGGAGGGTAAGAATATGGCTTAGTGTTTCTCATATGACAATTGGCTGCTCACTGCAACACAGGCCCTAATTGACCTTTTTTTTCTCAACAGTGAATGAGTTCTGGGTGACTGTTCAACGTACGGAGGCGTCTGAGCGCTGCGGGCTCGCAGGGAGCTACTGGCTGAAAGCGGAAAACGAGGCGCTGATTTTAAAGGAGCCTAAAACGAAAAGGAACGTCCTGGTCTGGCCTTACAAGCTGCTAAGAAGATACGGCAGGGACCGGGTGAGTGCACGGGCAAACAACAACACAAAAACCCCACAGAAAACGTAGAGAGGAAGTTTTTTGGCTTCTACAGTGATCATAAGGAGGAAGCATGAATAGCATAGATGTGGTCAGATTATTTTTAGCTGCTCCGTTTGTGGTGGTTTTTGTGTCAGTTTGATGTTTCACAGATCGAGTACACGATCTAAAACTTACAGATGACCTTTAAAACTGGCTGTTTGGTTTGTCTCGGTTCATGTAAAGTCTGACCTTCATCCACACTATGTGCAGCGATCAGAATCATGTGACTGATTTTAGCTCTCAACCAATTTAATCTTTTAAAGAGCTTAATTAAAATATAACATAAACAAGCACACATAATAATTTTTTTCTATGAGCAAGCATTTTTTTTAAATTAATATCCGGAACATAAATGATGTTAAACTGCATGCATGACAGAGTAGTGGCATTATTTGAAAAAAAAGAAAAAAAAAAGATAGAATAAATATTTTATGATATTGTTTAACATGATTAGCATAGTCAAAACTGCAATCTCCGAAGCTACATATCAAAACAGAATGTGGAACCCCACCTAACTTATGGCATTTCCCAATAGATGCCTGTGCTTCAAACTTTGTGTTGGGAAATATTTACATGTATTATGCCAGACAGAGGCTTAAATTTGGTTTCACTCTTTGACTTTCCCATTAGCTGATGAAAGTCTTGCTCTCTCTTGCATCCCTGTTGCTTTTAGCTGGGCACACACTGTACGATATTTTAATAGTTGTACTAAGCTGCAGCTCAAACTGTAGGATGAAACCGCAGGGTTTAAAAGTTTACAGCTCACAATGTATATTCTTACACTGTAAGGCCCAACGCTCTGATGCGATCTACCTGCTCACACTGCACGTCCAAAAACTAGGGTACTCGTCAGACTTGTCAATCTGGAAGAAGAATTCCCTTGTTTGCACGTGCGTAGTACTAGAGGTCGTGGTAAATTGGCTCAAAGATCTGCATCAACAGCAGGATTTGCCCAAGAACATCTCACGGGGGCCGACTGAAGTTCAACCATGTTTGATCTTCTCCTCACCTTTCGAGTCCTGATCAGGAGGTGGTCCTGAGAGGCTAGTCACCCCTCATTACCGCCTTTATACTACCCAACGCAGGACTCCCCTCATTACCCCCTGTATACTACACAACGCAGGACTCCCCTCATTACCCCCTGTATACTACACAACGCAGGACGCACGATGAGGCTCAAACTTGACCCAATCCAAAATATTCTCACACGACTGGAAAATCGTCCCAAAAAGGACAAAAAAAATCGTACAGTTCATGCCCAGTTTAACAAACAAATACTTCCTCCGCATCCCTCGCAGGAAATTGTTTCCACCTAAAATGATTATTACATGTTTTCCTCCTCTGAATTCATAATTAAACACTGTACTGCTACTAGTTGAGTTTTAGTCAGGAACTAGAGAGAGTTATTGTTAGCATTCCATGGTAACGTGTCATTCGTCAGGGAAAAAGGCGAGTTTAAAAGTCGGTTAAAGATGCAACTGTCTTACATTTGCCCCGTGAACATTTGCAAAAGCTCATCCCTATTGCTGTGTCTTGCACTCTAAATACATTTCACCTCTTTATCTTTCCCAGGTGATGTTTTCCTTCGAAGCCGGACGCCGATGCGACTCGGGCCCTGGCAATTTTACCTTCGATACAAAGCAAGGCAACGAGATCTTCAGTTTGGTAGACCTGGCCATCCAGGCGCAGAAGGCTCAAGTAGAGGAGCGCCATCTCAGCTGCCCCCAGAACTTTGACACCGATGGCTCTTTGTCACTGCAACACATACGGAGTGCGGTTCCCGGCTGCGGTCCGACAGCGGCAAGTGGAGACAGTAGTAGCTGCAGCAGTCGGGAGGCGGACGGCGACTCGGGCGGCAGCAAGCCGGGCTCTGCTGATGGAGTGCTTGGAAAAAGGGAGGGAGGTGATGGAGGAGGCAGAGGACAGGGAGTCGGAGGAGGACTCAAAGGGAGAAGTTTGCCTGAACCCCCATCTCTTAGAGGACCAGCAGGGAAAGTTGTACTCCAGCTTGATGAGCAGGCGAGCTTTTATTCTGAGCCAGCAGATTCTGTCCGTTTGCTCATTCCCAGCTGTGATGGCCTTTATTCAGACCCAGTGGACACCATCAAGGGTCAGAACCCATCCTCACCACCTGTGCCCACTCCACGCCTTCGACCTGTGGGAGACGACGCCTCAGGCGGGGATCATCATCCCGCAGGAAGCAACAACAAGAAGGTTCCAGACCTGTATTCACATTTGTATGACCATATAGGCATGGACCTGAGTCAGAGGACAGGCGCACTGAATCTGAATGGGGCTGCCGGAGGAGGAAGAGGTGGCGGAAAGGGGGTTATGAGTAACAAAAGACCTCCAGGAGGTCAGGGAGAGGGGGCCTCACCACCTGCTGGGCCTTCTGTGGATCACATATATGATGAACCAGAAGGCTGCGCCAAAGGAAGCAGCAGCCTTCCCATCAGCCTTAGCATGAGCGTTTATGACGAGGCCCGCTTGGAGCCTCAGCGCCAGAGGAGACAGGACGAAGCAGAGGCAACTTATGACACCGCATACCTGGGGAAGCCGTCAGAGCACCAAAAACTCTCTCCTAAGCTGCTGGGTCTAAGTCGTGGATCGCCGCAACCTCCAACACCAAAGTTTCCCAAACCTGCTACCGCCCCCAAGCCACACAAGGGAGCATTCGCCCGGAAGGAGCCGGTGCCTCCTCCCTCGGGTAAACAAGGGGGTTCTGGTAGTAACATGAACAACAACAACAATATCTGGAGCTCCGGAGGAGGAGGCGGGAAGGAGCTGTACAGCAAAGTGTCTAAACAGAAGCCTCCTCCAGCTCTGACGTGGTGTAATAGGAACCACCATGCACCCCTGAGAGCACCTGATATAATTTATGACAACTTGGGAGACATTTGACTACTTAAATATAACTTAGATTTAAAAACAAACCTTAACTCTCTTGCTCAAAAAAAGAGAAGCTTCAGAGTAAATGCTGGGCAACTAAGATGTTTATCGTTTCATATTTGTTCCATTCGAGGGCGGGAACAGTCCAGGTCACTTGGTCTGGAGTGGGTCAGCTCACAACTATGAGAAAACCACATTATGGGCGCCATTTCAAATGTGGCATGCAGTGATTGCGGGGCCACCCTGTGTGCGTGTCATAGCGAGGGAGAGTGTTTGCCTGGGCAAAGCCATAATTGGCGCCTCAAGCCACAGTGCGGCCGGAGCCAGCCACCTCACTCCAACACACACAAGCAAAATGGATTCGCCTTCACTTTAACAAGCTGAAAGAGAGGGAAAGTGACTTGGTTCCTTTTTTTTCTGCTGTGCTCACGAAAAAACAGATTTTTTGCACTGTGCCTCCTCTTTGTCGTTGAATTTTGTAATGTGAAACAGAGAATGTGATGGTCGGGAGTTGATGGTTTGTGAGCAGGACTTAAGCAGAAGAAGATCTTTGGGGATTTTTGGGGGGTTTCCTAAGATAAAGCTGGACGGGAGTCCTTTTAGGATAGGAAACAGGGAATTGGTCAGAAGCTCTATGCATGTTTTGTTGAATGGTTTGTCATCAGAGACCAGTAATGGAAAAACTAAAATCAAGTGATTCTTTGATTCTTAAGTTTATGACAAAAACGTATGAGTTACAAGCTGTTTTTCTTGTTTTACGCCATTTTACTTATCTAAATTGATATAAAATCTTTAGGAGGAGTTGTTTCACCCTGTGATGTTTCACCCTGTGATATCACTTTCCATATAAGGTATTTGTGTGTTTCGTTTCAACATTGACCTCAGACAGAATGAAAAAAATTATTTTTGGCCAAATTTGTGAGCAGTTTTATTTAATTTTACATTTTCTTTTGTATTTTATGTCGAGGAGATACAACTTGCATGACAACATTTTATTGAAGAAAATGCATCCTACACTCACAGTTAACAACTGTCTTAATATATATGTATATATGTATTATTTAGAAAAATATATTTGAGGAAAACTTATTTTTACACCACAAACAATAAAAGCGGCTTGTATTTGGATCAGATAATAAGGTAAAGTAAATCAAAAAATCAAATATTCACCTCCAGTTACCAAAACATGCATGGACTCAAGATTCCTGGAAGCTCCATATGAACTGAACATCAAAACTAATCAAACTTTAATAATGTGTCGGTTTGTGTCTACGTGTGTCAGAAACAGCTGCGCTGTCTGTAAATGTATCTGATAATAAAACTGGCTCCAAAAGCTTAATATATTTCCTGAAACTGGGTCTTTGAAAAGAGAATCATTTCTTCCCCTCAATGTTTTGGTCCACAAGCCAATCAAGAGTCTGTTATTCGTGTCAAAAAAGACTTTTCTGTTCTGGCGCGACCGTGACAGTAAAAACAGTCTGACCTCATCCTCCACTTCTCTTCCTCCACTCTGTTTTTGTTGTTTCAGTCCGTTTCCAACCACTTAATCGCACCGTTAAAGCGTAGGGTCCAAAAAAGAAAAAAAGAAAGAAAAAAAAACCAAACAAAGACGTTCTTTCTTACTTTTCTTCCTACTCCTTTTCTCTGCAGCTAATTGTGTTGTTTGGTTGCTCAGGCTACAGATAATGGCGGCTGGTTTGTGTCCGACTCGCCGCGCATTTTAACTGCAGAGAGAAGCCGTTGGGGAAACTAATATAGTGAAAACTCAAAGAGAGAAGAGATTTTTTTTTTAAAGATGTTTATCCCTGATTTGATGTGATGAATGCTGGTTGGATGGTTGAACCTGTCTGCGTCTGCTTGGCTCGTAGACGGGTACAGACTGTTCCATTTACTGCTTTTCTTTCATTCCTGCTCCCTCTCTTTTTATGTCCTTTTCCTTTCCCTCACCTGCTGCTAGAATACTTCCAGCACAGGCGAAGAAGCTGATTACATCTCTCCTTCTTTTACAAAGTGAGGATGGAAAAAAGGAAGCAAGCTTCTGTCTTTCTCATTAAGCTATCTTTGAACTCACTGGGGAAGAGAGAAGGAACTGTGGGTAGATACAACTTTGCACTTTATCTTTTACTCGTTTAAACGCTTCCTTGTTGGAATATCAATCTGTAAATGTGTACACAGGTTATTTACACATTTACTGTCTCTGTTTCAGGATGAGGAAGACAATTTCTAAACTAGGGTAATAAAGCCATCCTTGTAATAAGGAAGCCTGCATGACATTATTTCAACTACTGGCTTTAACTGCAGCTTTATCACAACTGAGTGAATGAAAGTTATCTCCTACAGAAGTGGATTTATTGCTTTACTGGTTTTGTAAAGTGCTGAAAGGTTCCTCTAAATGTACAGGACCTTTTAAAAGTATTAATACAGAGTAAACTCTAGACTAGACTGACTTATTTTATTTTCATAGAGATCATGGTTTTCACAGACCATGTGACAAACAAACACAAAGATGTTCGCAGTTGAGATGAAAGGAAGATCCTGCTTCGTTTAGGTAAATGTTTTATAGATCAATTCCAGCTCCAAATCTTTTTAAGGTAAACTTCCACCACCTTTGCACATCTACATACTGAATTTCTGCCAAAGACAAGGTAAGGCACTGGCCGATTGGATAGAGATCTTCTATTCACATCATTTTTCAAGTTCTTCCATCGATTCCTATCCTGATTTAGGCCTGGACTTTGACTAGGCCAAAATAATGAGCTTTGATTTAAAGAAGCTATTTCCAGCTTTTATCAGCATTTTAAAGTCACCCATAGGTGAATATATGATGAAATAATGCCTTTAGAACTAAATATTATTAAATATGTATTCGAGAGGAGTCAGTTGAGGTGGCTCGGACATCTTCTTCGGATGCCCCCAGGACGCCTCCCTCGGGAGGTGTTCCAGGCACGTCCCACCGGGAGGAGGCCCAGGGGACGACCCAGGACACGCTAGAGAGACTTATGTCTCTCAGCTGGCCTGGGAGCGCCTAGGGCTTCCCCCAACAGAGCTGGAGGAGGTGTCAGCGGAGAGGGAAGTCTGGGAGTCTCTGCTTAGTCTGCTGCCCCCGCGACCCGGTTCCGGATAAACTGGGAGACAACGAGTACAAGTATGAGTATTGAAAAATTAGTTGTGCTCTTCCAACCTCAAAGAAAAACACTTGACTTCGAAGCGAAGCTGCTTCTCGTTGTCTTGGTGCCATCCATTTTATGATGTCGTCGCCGCAGACTACCTCTGAAGGCCAAAGTCCAAGATAACTGAAATCCAACAAAAATATATGAAGATGTCAAATTGTGTGGATTAGCTGCTAAAAGAGCAACTTCCCCTCAACTTTCAGCCTTAAATATCCCGCTCTGCCTGACATCAGCCTTCCCTGATCAGAGAAAGTCTGGGTTGGTTTACAGTGCTGGCACGGTAGGTGCTTCCTGGAGGGGCCTCTTATGTAGTTATTCTTCAGGACAGGGAGTGGCTAATGCTCAGACACCAGGAGTTAAGGGGATTAGCAGGAATGGCCTCACAAATTCCAAATAACTGATTTTGCATGATATTGCCTTGCTGGAAGGTAAACCTCCACAATCCCAGACTGAATTCCTTTTTTAGCTTCTAACAGGTTTTCTTAAGGGTTTTTCTTGCATTTAGTTCCATTTTCCCGTAAACTTTGACCAGTTTTTCTCTACCCGCTAAAGAAAATTTTCCCAAACAGAACAATGATGTGAGGACAGTGTTGTTTCCCAGGTGTCTGCTGTTTTCCTTACACCAGCGGTCCCCAACCACCGGGCCGCGGACCGGCAGCGGTCCTTGGGTCATTTGGTACTGGGCCGCACAGAACAAAGTATCAACGATCAGAGTCTGAGTGATGTTTTATATTGAAAAATATAAAAAATTGCGGTATTCTCCCCCAATTACATCAGTCGGTGCATCTGTGCCTCTTGACACAGGTTAATTCAGTTCAAGACTCATCCTATCTATAACATCCTATCTTTGTCAAGCGGGATTTTCTGCGGTTACAGCGACCAAAACAAAGCTACGGAGAAGACTGGACATCAGGAGCACACTTCGTCTGTCATTTTCTCTGATTAAGCCTAGATGGGACCGGCTTGTTGTTTTATTTTTATGCTGTTTGTATTTGATTTTATGCCAGTCGTATTACCCCCCAACCCCCCACCCCCTCGCTGGCCTGTCCGTGAAAATATCGTCTGACATATAGCGGTCCGTAGTGCAAAAAAGGTTGGGGACCGCTGCCTTACACTATTTGCAGTTCACTGCAAACTTGACCTTTGGTTTTCTTTCAACTATTTCTTTTTTCCTTGACATTCCTGTCAGGGATAAGTGGACACCCATGCCTTGGTAGCATAGCAGCTGTGCCTCGCTGTTTCTCTTTTCAGATGATGAACAAATCCGGTTTGTTCTTTGATCTCAATGATGCTTTTTATTCTATATTTTATACTAAAGTTAAATTACACAGACATTGACAGTTACTAATTAGGAGACTGCTGATTACATTTGACTGAGAGGCTTTTCTAAGGGGCATTGGAGTAAAGGGTGCTAAATACAAAATGCATGCCACAAAATCCTCTGTTTCTTCCATTTTAGAGCTATGCAGCACTCTGCCAAACAAAATCCCGAGGCTTTGTGGTTCAGATGTGACCACCTGTGGAAAAATTATAGCATGATTACTTTTGCAAGACACAGCACCGTTGAGAATTTAAAAAGCAACCTTCAGGTGAACTCCAAATATCCAGCCTCTTAAAGTCCAAACTTTTCTAGATTCAGAAAGATTTCATCTTTCTATTTCATTTTTCCGGCAGTTTTTTTTGATGTTCTGAACATTTGAGGAGAAGTTATTCATCTCAAACTTAACACCATAAAAAAAAACAGAGCAGAAAAACACCACAAAGTTCACTTTTGATGTTTGACAGCTTTGGGGTCACACATTCAGTTCAGCTCTTTTTTTCATAGCAGCAAAACTTAAATGGACCAAATCTGTATTGGATTATTCAACACATACTGGTTCTTTAAACACAGCTTGTGGGTTGTGGTAACGTTCAGTGGGTTCAACGCTTTGTACCACATGTCTGATACAAAAACCCAGACTGATCTAAAGGGCAATGAGTATAAAAAAACTCAAATTCGTATGAAGTTGTTTTTATTCTCTGGGTTCTCTGTTAACAATATGATCAGTAAAACTGTACAAATACGCAAGTTATAATATGCTAAAAACTAAGGAAAAAGACATAATCTTAATGTAAATAAATAAAAAAAATATTTTTAAGAAACCAGATTTCCATTCTTATCCAGACTTAGTAATTAATCACAATTCTTAAAATAGTTTTAGCCGACTTGTTAATTTGACGGAAGGAAATTAATTCATTCCAGTTCCTGTTTTGTTGAAGCAAAAAATATCTAAGAAATATGACTGCCACTGTTTATTAATGAAAAAAAAAAAATTTCTTTAAAAAGATTTGCACAAAAACATCACCTCTTTGAGTTCAAAACTTTTGTTTTGAAAAACTTTAGTTTTTTAATTTAAGACTTCTCAAATGATCCCATTTTCAATGAAAGCTTATATTTGATTTTGTTGTTTTATTTAATAGAAATACATTTTAGAAACCTGTTTTTCACTTGGAGGTGATTCAGTTGTAATAACTAAAAGCTATAAATAAAGAAATAAAAAAAACAAACATATATGACTTATAAATGTAAAGTTACATTTGGATCCGGTTTTGAAACTGAATTAAAAACTTGTCCTTTGTTGTATACAACAACGTTGTTTGTTGTATTTATTCATTTTTTG